CCAGCCTAAAAAAACAAAACGGAATTCCTGTTTCAGCTGTATGGCCTTATATCTGTAGCTGGTCGTGTATAGACCTGGTTTTAAAAGCTTCTTTATGTTCTATTATTTGTTAGAGCATCATTATTGTGTAGTGTTAAGGTTAGATTTTGGTGTTACTAAGACAAATAATTTCCATATGTTTCATTATGTGTATCTGACTGCTGACAGTTATGCTCTGACATCTTCAATTGTCTCAGGACATCTTGTTCTTGGTAAGCAATCAGTTTTTATTTGTATCGCCCTGAATCTGCAAGGAGAACATCAACAGACACACAGTGACATTGATCATTTTCACAACACTACAACCACTGATGACTTCGGCTTTACATACATAATTTTTCAACTCAAACGCACAAAACGCAAGCTCTGATGCGGTTATATTTAAAAACCTGACAAATGACTTACTAAATAGGCATGGAGAAGTTTAAATTTTAGAGTCACGGACGCCTACGCCAAGTGAACATGGGAAGGGGAGTCAGTCCCTTTGATACATCTTCTAGGCAACAGGGGCTGGGGGGGGGGGGGGCCTGGCAATCAGTCACAAAACAACGTTATCCTAGTTTAGGAGCACGATAATTATGTGTTGAATGGCAAGAAAAATATAGTAATACATTTGAAATAATGTGAGATGAGTACTGTATGGCATTAAAAAACTGAGACAGATTTTAAAATGACCAAAAGAAAACGCCACACAGGAACGAAAGCATGTCATCCAAACAAGCACTATTCAACTGTGATCTGGCAAAGGTGTATTCCCGCCCGGTCAGCAGACAACAAGAAACTCGTCCTTTTATTTAACTAGAAAAAGTGCCACTGTTACGCATGCACCAAGAAACTAGGGTGAATACTAATTTAGTTTCAAACTTGGAAAAGTGTTCTTGAGACAGTTGAATTAATATGTGTTCGAGGATTCATGTTATCTCGTGACTGAGGTGAGTAAGAGAATGAAGATAAAGCTGGGCCTGGCTGTCCAGTTTATGTTCGAAATGATAAATCCATTGCCACGGTCACAGAACGGATATGTGAAGATCGATGTGTGACTATGTGGATGATGGCAGATGAATATGAAACTGAATCTTGTACAAACTAATACAGTGTGTTTTTTTAAATTTCTACAGCTGTCATAATAGCAATCTTTCAGTCTAAAACAGGATGATTGTTCATCATTAGAGCCAGACTTTATACATTGCCACATAAGCTTTACTACTACCAAAGTGCGTGTTTCTTGTCGTCTACTAACGGGGCGTGTTGCAATTTCGCCAGATAATAGACGAATGGTACCTGTTTGGATAACATTAATTTCTTCCTGGACAGCATCATTTTTTCTTTTGGCGGTTATAAAATAGCTTCATTATTAAACTATCGGTCTTTATGTAAACAAATACTTCTTAACTTCTTGTCTTTAAAAAGGCCTTTAGCCCCTTTACAACACAATATTGTGGGTGATGTTGGCAGAGGTATGGGTGTTTAAGCGACACGAGCAGCAGGATCGGACGCCTGCAATAGAAACGTAAAATCTAAGTGTGCCATGAGCTCTGTATGTCAGCTTTTAGGAGTTGGTGCCAGAAAAAAATGTAAGAGCGAAAGCGAAGCACGTGTTGGAAACTTGCAGATGGAGGAAGACTAGTTTCTTTACAAATTCACTAAAAAGATAAAGTGTGAAGAAATAGCAAGGTACTTAAATGTGGACATAACAAGAGGGGAAATGGTGGGTTGATTTAATTTAACCCATATGTTTATGTGTCAGACATTCAGAAAGAAGAAAATCGTGACAGAAAAACTTAGCATTTTCTAGTCTTGCTATCTGTGTGGTAAGATCTGCGTCATTTAACAGCCACAGTGTGGATGTTTACTGCTGAAATTGGTGGACAATAATATGGCCCTCACCCACACAGGACCCCAAGTTATAACCTTTGCTCTTTGGAAGCTAAACGGGGTACCTGTGATCTGCATTGCTGGTCTGCCGTCCAGACTGCATCTATGATGGTATAGTAAATTTTTAGCAGCAACCCGGAGAGGACAAAACTATCGATCGATCGACAAATACTACCATGACCTCGCCAGCACATGGCTGAAGGTTAACCATAATATTGTGGCTATAGAGGTGCACCAGTTATAATTTCTTGGAGAAATCTGGCTTTACCCTTCTGGTCTGCCATCAACACTGAGATTCTTCAGTCTCACGGGGTCAAACCTTTAGATCCTGTTCGTCTGCCACCAACACTGAGATTCTTCAGTCTCACAGGGTCAAACCTTCAGGTCCTGTTAGGCTGCCACCAACACTAAGATTCTTCAGTCTCATGCGGTCAAACCTTTAGATCCTGTTCGTCTGCCACCAACACTGAAATTCTTCAGTCTCACAGGGTCAAACCTTCAGGTCCTGTTGGTCTGCTACCAATACTGAGATTCTTTAGTCTCACGGGGTCAAACCTTGAGATCCATTTGGTCTGCCACCAACACTGAGATTCTTTAGTCTCACGGTGTCAAACATTGAGATCCATTTGGTCTGCCACCAACACTGAGATTCTTTAGTCTCACGGTGTCAAACATTGAGATCCATTTGGTCTGCCACCAACACTGAGATTCTTTAGTCTCACGGGGTCAAACCTTCAGATCCTGTTGGTCTGCTACCAATACTGAGATTCTTTAGTTTCACGGGTCAAACCTTCAGATCCTGATGGTCTGCCACCAACACTGAGATACTTTAGTCTCACGGGGTCAAACCCTCAGATCCTGTTGGTCTGCTACCAACACTGAGATTCTTTAGTCTCACGGTGTCAAACCTTGAGATCCTTTTGGTCTGCCACCAACACTGAGATTCTTTAGTCTCACGGGGTCAAACCTTCAGATCCTGTTGGTCTGCCACCAACACTGAGATTCTTCAGTCTCACGGGGTCAAACCTTCAGATCCTGTTGGTCTGCCACCAACACTGAGATTCTTCAGTCTCACGGGGTCAAACCTTCAGATCCTGTTGGTCTGCCACCAACACTGAGATTCTTCAGTCTCACGGGGTCAAACCTTCAGATCCTGTTGGTCTGCCACCAACACTGAGATTCTTTAGTCTCACGGGGTCAAACCTTCAGATCCTGTTGGTCTGCCACCAACACTGAGATTCTTTAGTCTCACGGGGTAAACCTTCAGATCCTGCTGGTCTGCCACCAACACTGAGATTATTTAGTCACACTTTCACTCTCCTACGTCTCCTCTCTATAGCTTGCTGCGTTGGCCTCTTGCAACAGTTTAACTCTCACTGTCTGCCTTTTAGCATTCGGACTGTAGCTAATGTAAAAAAAAACATTAAACATGATATTCTACCGTCTAAGACGTTTGTCATTTCCACCTGTCAATTTGTGCAGCACCCCTCCCCTTTTAGCGATATGTCCCACTTCCGCCTGCCCTACAGATAGAGACCTTCCCCGCGTCTACCTGACGTTTCGTCTTTGCTGACACTTTAATCTTTGCCCCACTTCCTGACAGCTGACATACAAATCCCACAGTACAAACACAGCAATTTTTACGTTTCTGGTTTTAGACGTTTTCAAGACCTTCTATTAACAGGCTAAGTGACTTTTTCTGTAGTATTTTAAAACACTTATACCAGCATTTTTTTTTGGATTGCATGTGCTGACGAAAGTTTTGCCCATCTGTCACTTGTGATTGTGTTTTGTAAGGCTGATCAGTTCAACTTTCTCTTTTGTCTTTGATTCCTTCGTTCACTTCATCTTTTACCACTTGGGTTATTGGAAGAGATACAATCTCTGTTGTAGCTGTTTCTGGTGGGTATTTATATCATGTGTAGAGTGAAGAGATACCCAGCTCTGGTTGTCACTGCTGTAGTTGTTTCTGGTGGGTATTTATATCATGTGTAGAGTGAAGAGATACACAGCTCTGGTTGTCACTGCTGTAGCTGTTTCTGGTGGGTATTTATATCATGTGTAGAGTGAAGAGATACACAGCTCTGGTTGTCACTGCTGTAGCTGTTTCTGGTGGGTATTTATATCATGTGTAGAGTGAAGAGATACCCAGCTCTGGTTGTCACTGCTGTAGCTGTTTCTAGTGGACATGTATTTCATGTGTAGAGTGAACAGATACAACTAAAAATGAGGTAATGAGAGCAAAAAGTCCGTACAGAACCAATTTTAAATTACATACACACACAGTAAATGGTTTGCAAGTGGTTTTCCCTTGGGACCTGCAACCAAGCATATAAGTTCTCTGTCTCCTTGTTTGTTTTTATATTTCGTATGATTTCACATATTTTTTTTATTGATTTGCTCTTTAAATGCATTATAAAATGTACCTCCTATTTCTCCCCAAAGTTATTAATGAAAACATCCATATCTGCTATTTTGCTTTGTCTGGGATAGGCCGTGTTCAAATAATCGTAAATGCAGCCTCTTCAGAACATAATCACCTACAATTAATCATCTTCATCAACAGTTTTGTCGTCGTCGTCATTATCAGCATGTGCCATGTCGAGAAGCGTAGGTGGTCAAGGTTGGCCGTAGCAACGTAGCTCCGCCCTTCTTCAGAAACCTACAAAGAGTTGACCGCCGACAAAGAAGAAAGGAAATACTGACATCCTGAACGATCAGAACATATCAAGCGCCACGGCAGGTTAGAAAGAATAATATCAGAACGAATGATATCAGCAAGAGGGACAGGGGCCGACCAGCACGAAGATGGGCACATGATATAAGTGACACCTTGAGAATGACAGTGCATCAAGTTTAAGAGCTGGCAAAAGACCGAGTTTCTTTAGGCAGACTGTAATGAGAGCGACGTTCTGTAGAGTATCTTGCTAAATGACGATGACAGATGCACCTAATATTCACAAATAAATACAAACATACTTTGCATACATGCCAAAAGTCGTGAATTATATTTGCTATATTCGAATTACACAACAAATCAGCGAGCTAAATGAAAACATGGATGAGAAATGAGATTGTTTTAGCAGTCAGTATAAACATTGGTTATTGGGATCTTTAAGAACCATATGTTCCCGCGGGTCGTAGAGCGAAGGCGCGTATAGGAAAATGCTGAGTGTGCCGCAAAAGCAGGCAGTGGTGAAGATGTAGAGGAAGAAGCGATCCATCACCATGGCGATGTATTTCCAGTCTCGTTCTTCCTGTAGAGATGATAAAAACAATGATAAAAACATTGATAAAAACAATGATAAAACCAAGGATAAAAATAAAGATAATTTAACTTGTTATCCAGAAAGTATTTTTTTTCTTTCATCTGGTATTTTACGTAAAAATGTTTTAGATAATTACATCAAATGAGGATAGTCTCTTTTAACAAACTGCCATTACTGTTTGTATTTAAAAATTGTGCAGTGTCAGCAAGGCGGTCTGCGAGCCTGAGGATTTACAGCCGAGTAGCTAGTGCAGCCGCCACGGACTGCGCAGGTTAGAATTGTAATTTTTGCCTCCGACAGATAAAACAAATCATAACCTTAGTCCCCCGTGTGGATTCCGGGGCCCTACGATAGGAAAAACAAGAATAGACCCACTGCCTACCCAAAAGCATGTCGTAAGAGTCGACTAATTGGGAGCTTCCTTCGAAGTCGGAGTGCATCTGCCTAAGAATCAAGGAACCAACAGTCTGCATACAGATTTGTCAAACGGTTGCACACGTAACACTCAGGTTCTGGAACAGGACGGCAGTCCAGAAGTGGACGAACAACCAGAACTTCACGCCGGAGTTTACAGCCGGTGAACGCCAAGAATAATAAGAAGAAAAAGATGACCTTAGTTAGGATTCAAAGCCTGGTCTTATGCATGAGAGACCACCTTTATTTTAACGGCTCGGCCAGCAGCTGATTACAAAGGATGATAATTGATTCTTCTTCTTCTTTTTCATGTTGTTGTTGTTTTTGTTCCTATTCTTTTTCTTCTTCTTCTTCTTCTTCTTCTTCTTCTTCTTCTTCTCTTCTTCTTCTTCTTCTTCTTCTTCTTCTTCTTCTTCTTCTTCTTCTTTTTTCTTCTTCTTCTTCTTCTTCTTCTTCTTCTTCTTCTTCTTCTTCTTCTTCTTCTTCTTCTTCTTCTTCTTCTTCTTCCTCTTCCTCTTCTTCTTCTTCTTCTTCTTCTTCTTCTTCTTCTTCTTCTTCTTCTTCTTCTTCTTCTTCTTCTTCTTCTTCTTCTTCTTCTTCTTCATCATCATCATCATCATCATCATCGTCATCATCATCATCATCATCTTCTTCTTCTTCTTCTTCTTCTTCTTCTTCTTCTTCTTCTTCTTCTTCTTCTTCTTCTTCTTCTTCTTCTTCTTCTTCTTCTTCTTTTTCTTCTTTTCTTCTTCGACCTTCGCCGACACTGTGGTGTGATTTATAGCTAGGCTGCTTTACTTGCGCCTCTAGGTCCACAGCTTCAAATAAATGGTCGCCTTTTACGACATGCTTGTTAAGGAGCAGTAGCTTTTTTCTTCTCCTATCAAAATAAGCTCTAGAACCCACACTTGTTTTAATGTGTAGCCCGATGATTGCTAGCGGACCATTTTTTTTTTATTTTTCAAATGCCTAAACAAGTCCAATGCACGGAATGTCTTTCAATTGGTCTAGGAACCAAGTCTGACCCAGGTTAAAAATTGATGCCATAAAATTTTATAGAAATCAAAGCAGACTGCCCGGAAAATAACCAGGTTACAACTCGAATTTCACTCCAGGGGCGTCGACAGGGAGAAAACATTATGGATTAGTGGGGAGCGGGTCGCTTAGACCAGCCCACTGTAGAACATCTTATATATTTTCTTGCCAAACAAAGGGTTCGGGGAATAAAGTGCATAATGCTATTTAGCATATTACTAATAATGATAGTGGTAATGATGACAATAATAATAATAATGTGCCAAATGTAAAGTACGTGTAAGAATACATTATCAAATACTATGAATGAAATATAGAATAAAAATACTTTTAAAGATAATTGTTATGTACGGCTAAAGAGGGTTCTTGACCTCCTTACAATATTTTTTGCGCAGGAGGGATTGAGAGCACCCCAAACCCTGGTTAAACGAGCAGAAGGGGATGAGAGCACCCCAAACTCTGGTTAAACGAGCAGGAGGGGATGAGAGCACCCCAAATCTTGGTTAAACGAGCAGGAGAGGATAAGAGCACCACAAACCCTGGTTAAACAGACAGGAGGGAATGAGAGCACCCCAAACCCTGGTTAAACGAGCAGGAGGGGATGAGCACCTAAACCCTGGTTAAACTAGCAGGAGGGGATGAGAGTACCCCAAACCCTGGTTAAACGAGCAGGAGGGGATGAGAGCACCCCAAACCCTGGTTAAACGAGCAGGAGGGGATGAGAGCACCCCAAACCCTGGTTAAACAAGCAGGAGGGGATGAGAGCACCCCGAACCCTGGTTAAACAAGCACGAGGGGATGAGAGCACCCTAAACCCTTGTTAAACAAACAGGAGGAGATGAGAGCACCCCAAACCCTGGTTAAACATTCCGGCAGCCCTGCCGTGCACTCTATGTGCCTCAAAAAGGAAATTTGCTCTATGGCTCCTACAATACAGGGGCACACAGAACAACACTGCAACAATCCACTCCTACAATACAGGGGCACACAGAACAACACTGCAACAATCCACTCCTACAATACAGGGGCACACAGAACAACACTGCAACAATCCACTCCTACAATACAGGGGCACACAGAACAACACTGCAACAATCCACTCCTACAATACAGGGGCACACAGAACAACACTGCAACAATCCACTCCCACAATACAGGGGCACACAGAACAACACTGCAACAATCCACTCCTACAATACAGGGGCAAACAAATTACGACGACAGAGTGGGAGGATTAGTTATAAAATAAACAGGAGTGTAGGATTAGTAAACATACTAATCCCAGCCCACTAAAGAAATTCACCACCAGGGCTGGTTAATTTCGTTAATTTTGTTATTACTTTTTTTATCTCATGAACTCAACTTGTTTGCGCACAACACAGATTCCGAACTACTAGCAGCTTTGGTAACAATCCGTTTAGAGGTTGACTGATTAATTCATTCATTAATTCTGCCAAGAGATTATGCAATATGGCGTTAGCCAAGGAGCAATGAAGTCAGTCCTCCAAATTTAAATCTTTAAACATTTTAAACCCGCCTCAAGTTTCTCCATACAAGCAACATATGTTCGACGCACCAGTTTTGTGGTCAATGGTCCTTTACGTTTTAAAACACGCAAAGATCTACATGGAAACTAATGCTGAAATGAGAACACACACATAAAGAACAAAAGATTGAATAATGGCCAGATACTTACAGCAATATCCTCATCACCCTTCCTGAGATGGTTAGCTATAAAAGTGACGCCTTTGATGGCCTCCATGACTTCTGGAGGATAGTATGTTGTACACTCCGTCTCTGCTGACTCACTTTGCGCATGCACATTCTCATATGTGTGCATAGCTTCATGACTCGGGGACGGAGATTCCCGAAGCTCTATGCCGTTCACAGTCCGCACGGGAACTTTAGGTTTCTGCGGCAGTTCGGGTCTTTTCATGAACAACACGCGAGGCAGAATCTCCGTGAAAATCCGTTTGACCCACGGCGACATTTTGTGTGTTGTTGGAGATTTGAAGTTGATGTGTAATGTGTAGACAGTTAACGTAATTGACATAGTCACAACGATCATAATGAATAGTAAATATTTGCCTATAAGTGGAATCACCAAAGATGTGGGAGGATTCATATCTGATAACAGTAAGAAAAACACTGTCAGAGCCAGTAGAATGGAGATCGAGAGGGTGATCTTCTCTCCGGAATCAGAGGGCAGGTAAAATACCAGAACAGTTAAGCACGATATAGATACACATGGCATTATAAGATTTAGGGTGTAAAAGAGAGTTCTCCGCCTTAGGGTAATATTAAAGGTAATATCCGGGTACGGTTCCGGGCAACACGGGTAAAATTTCACCCTTCTGTGGGCGGTAACGTTGAGGACGTCCCACTCCACGTTGTAGTAGTAGTCGGTGAGGTCGATGCCTCTAGGGATGATGATCTCAGCTTCCTTTTTGGGGTCGGCTTCGGGGTAGATGATGGTTCCGTTACAGAGGTGTTGAAGGTCAAGTTCGTTTCCATGGTAGGTCCAAGAACTGATCTTCAGGAAGCATTCTTGGATGTCAAAGGGGAAGTACTCGACATCTATGGGGCAGTAACTCTTGTAGATGGCCGGTGGCTCCCAGACTATTTTGCCTGTGTTGTAGATGATGGCTTTTGTCTTCAGGGTTATTTGAAAATCACCATCGGCGCTGCAATTGAGAAACAAACAAATGATGTGATGTTATGGCAAGCACTGACAATTATGATGGTGGTGATGATAATAATGACGACGAACATGTGTCGTTGCCATCTTTCTATCTTGAAAGACATTAGTGTTCTGTTGTGCTATAGGTATCAGTAAAGTGAAGGCTCCCTATCCACCCCTTTAGGCACTTTGGGCACATAGGGCTAGATCTTTATTTATATAGACCAGTCGGCATTCGATTGGTGATAACCCATCACACCGGTCTCCCATAACTATACTTGGCACCCACTCAAAGCTGCATCTACTTGGGAGCCAAGGTGAGCTTTGAAAACACTCCGGCTCCATCAGGACCCGAACCCACGACCTTCCGTTCCGCAGGTGAGTGTCTAGCCGCTACACCACGGTGGCTCCAGATATAGTAGTCTAGAATCCATCCCCTCTCTCTCTCCTCTCCCCGCCAACTTAATTTTTTATTTTAAATTTACATTTTACAGTTTAAAGCCAGAGGATGGAGTTGACTCATTTAGTACAAGGCACCGTATCCTACGTTTAGTGGTTTCTTCTTGCAGTATACACCTTTATTATCTCATTGATTCAAAGACCCAAGTATTAGCATCACAAACATGTTCAAGAACAATATCTATAAGAAGGCACGAATATAACAGCTCATGGTGTTGACAACTGGACTAATAGGACTTGCTCGTATTGGGAAGCATCTCCCGCACTAATTTTATTTTAGGAGGCTTGTTGCCATCACGTGTATTGGACGTCTCTTCTAAGACCCTCAGCTCTTGACTTTTATTGCAATCATTGTCTCTGTTGTCCCTATTCGCTCTCCGAGCAGTGCCATGCATGACAGCCCGTTGACATGAATCCGCTTCAGTACTTGTATCATTCATGCCCTGCTTGCAGGCATGCTCGGTAGAGGCCGCACTCGACGTCTTTTACCTATCTGTGACTCACGACAAATGATGTCTTTAGGAAATCTACATTTCTCCATCTTCCAAGAGTCTTTTAGTCATCCAATAGTTCGAATAGTGAGCATTGGTATAATAATAATAATAATATTAATAATAATAATAATAGTAATAATAACAATAATAATAATAGTAATAATAGTAATAATTCAGCCACCAGAGCTCTGAATGGGCTTCCCAAATTCAATGTTTTAACTCTTCAAAGTCAATTTACGTGGCAGGGTCATGGCAATATAAACCCATCTATCTTTATATTCCATAAAATAGTGAGTTGTCACAAAAGTGTGGGATCCGGCTTCAACATTCACCTTGAAGGACTAGTGTCTCTGCCAATGACGGTTCTCGACCGTTTCCCTGTCTTGCTTGGAAGGCTCCGCTGGTAACTACATTCCCGCGGGTATAATTCTCTCTGTTTCAATAATAATAATCTAATTACAAATAGCGTAAATTCTTGACAATCCTTTCTAGCTTCATTCAATTATTTATCCATGATTAATTACTAAGATAGCAGGCGCATACACATTCATGCACACAGAAGGCACTTATTCATGTAAACATTCACGCAGACATACTTAATATACAAAGACACACACAAATATACCATACTTGTATATGTACGTACATAACATAAAATTTACGATTGCGTGGTCTCGAGGTATGATGTCCACCTCGAGTGATAGAGGTTCCGGGTTCAATCCCTGGTGAGGGCTGGAATTTTTTCAT